GTTATGCTATTTTGTTGGTCCATTCCGTCAAAGAAATGAGCGATTACATCGTGGAATTATTTTATTGTTGTAGTGTTAGGGTAGCAACCCACGTCACGAGTTAATTCCTGACTTCTAACTTGAAATACGTGTTGGTGTGTGAGCCTTAGTATTGTTTTCATTATTATATTTTTTTCTTTGAATAGGTTCGAAATATGAGAATACGATTGAGGATTAGCAATTTCCATATTTTCATTCATATTTAATTAATGCTTCCATTTATTTTGTATGTTCTATATGAAACGAAAAATTTTTCGACATCATCATAACATGAACATATGCTCTCCTGAGTTGGTTCGATGTTTTGAAATGAGATCTGTCATAATTAGTTACCATTACTATATTAAATATATGTTGATTCGAAAAAAAATTGAATAAATAATAAATATTACCACATCAGATGAAAAGAAACTCAAGCAGCGTTACTCCCCTCATTCCGATTGTATTCATTGTGTGTATTGATAAAGAGACTTTCTACATTGTATATTACTAATTTTCATGGAATTAAGAAATTCTTATAATAAGGATCACTTTTTATATTTCAATATCAATTTCAATGATTCATATCACAAACTCTTTCATTCAAAATTGATTTTGAAGTACAAAATTCAGACTTTTGTACTACCAGTTTCGTTTTTTTTATCTGTTTTGTTTCCTGTTTCGTAATTAGGACCTGTCCTGTAAAACAGTGTATATTAAATAAATAAATATATATCTGAAATCTAAGTATTTATTGTTCGTGTGTTACAACACCTAAGCAATATAAATACTTTTTCAAGAGTTCGAAATGAAAATTCTCAAGCTGGTTTTAGTACGTTATGCTATTTTTTTGGTCCGTTCCGTCAAAGACATGAGCGATTACATCGTGGAATTATTTTATTGTTGTAGTGTTAGGGTAGCAACCCACGTCACGAGTTAATTTCTTGACTTCTTACTTGAAATACGTGTTAGTGTGGGAGCCTAAGTATTGTTTGTAGCATTATATTTTTTTCTTTGAATAGGTTCGAAATATGAGAATTCGATTGAGGATTAGCAGTTTCCAAATTCTCATTCATATTTAATCAATGCTTCCATTTATTTTGTATGTTCTATATGAAACGAAAAATTTTTTGATATCATCATAACATGAACATTTTCTCTCCTGAGTTGGTTCAAACTTTCGAAATAAGATCTTTCATAATTAGCAACCATTACTAATTGAACTCCATCAACCTCTTTTTGGTCTTCATACATGTCCCCTGCATTTCAATTTTCTCCAATGTCTGTTTTAAATTCAGGGCACATAAGACTCAACAGTGAAATATTCAGGAGAGTATATTCCGCAATACAAATTCGCTCATTCCGTGAACATTCAAATAGAATTATTCACAATCTTTCCAACGCCTGATTGAATTTCATACTTCGGTTTCACGTGCTGAATGTGGAATTTCTTCGATGCTGCTCCATCCGATTCAGAAAAGTTTTCCACATGGCCAGGTCTCTGGCTATTGATGCGAATTTTTCATGAAGAGAGGAAATTAATGTTCTCGCAGAATTGAATGCGGTTAACGAAACAAAACGGAGTGTTTTTTTGAATGCAGAGAATTCATTGAAATTGATCGCGTTGTTTCAATAAGTATTCAGCATTTTTCAGGAGGAATATTTCATAATCAAGCAAAAGTTTCAATAATTAACCACTGTTTTCAAATATACCTACATTTTTCAGAGTAAAGTTAATAGTGATTATGGATTATAAATACACCTACCATTTATTATCCTAGTTGAAAGAATAACATTAATATCCAATGAACAGAATAAATGGAGAATAGCAAAACCAAGAAATAATGAGGGTATTTTGCTACAGAATGAGAACTGCTGAGAAACTCACTGTAAACTGAATTACACCTAAATTACAGCGAAAAATAAGTTGGCTATCTGCTGAATAACTTCGATAACTTACTGATAGGAGCTCAATAACTTCTTTTTGAATATTATATCTCTCTTGATAGTTTGACTGTAATTCAATCCTCTGCTTTTTGTATTTTCATTATTCTCCAAGCAAATATAATAATTCTCACCATTTCTATATTTTAATTTCAAAACGATCAAAATTGTATCCACTGTATCGAGTATTATATTAATATATTATTTTTGTATGAAATGTATTTAAATAATGAAATGTCTTGAAATATATAACCAAGGCACAAGTGTACATTACATGGGTACAGTTTCCTGTGATTTCCTTCGCCATCAAATGACAGATGCATTGAAAATCGGACATTTGACTGGATGGTACCTTAGTATAGTGGAATTCACCAAAAGACGGTCACAGACGTTAGTCCTCAATAGTCAATAAATAACACTTTTTTTGCTTCTAATCCTTTGCAAAGATGTATAGGAAATTGGAGTACACGGGTTAAAAATGGTTGCAAAATCTCATAGACCTCCCACCTTTTAAATATGTATTTACCGAACAATGTGTCCTGAACCAGAAAGATCAATAAATGTGTTACTCATTCATTTATTACATATTTTGCAAACATAAAAACCTGTGTTCAGTGTTCAAATATAAATTCTTCAGATATTCAAACATCAATATATCTCAAAATTCAACCAATGATATCCTTATCGCCATCTCATATACCTCTTAAATCATAATGAATGTGTTATATCCTGGAATGTCCACATAGCTAGCTCGCCTGTGATATACTTCTGATTAATTGAATGAAGTGTTATTAAATATTCGAGAATATTTTCATGAATATATATATATATATATATATATATATATATATATATATATATATATATATATATATATATATTTAGATATTTTCTGTTGAATGTTTCGGCTCGATCTCAATATATTTCGATAATGATTCTGAGAAAAAATGACTAAAACAAAATAAATTTATACGTAAAAGATTTTAAACGAAACCTCTTAAATTCATGGAACTGCACAAATATGTATTTTGCAGAATTAGTGCAGAATTCAACAGATTCATCTTAATAGAGGGTTAATATGAATTGGGCACGTCTCGAATAAATGACAAAATGCCCCATGTTATCCTGTTAAAATTCTCTTCGAATTAAATTGAAGTTCAGAACTGAATAGAAACAAAAGCAGCATCGTGATATCATGCCTTTTCAGTTCACAATTCGCTCCGTTGAACCAGAACCATTAGCCTGTTTCGATTCAAATTGATTATTCTCCTGAAAATGGGAAAAAGCTGTTGAGGTTTTGCGACGACGGTTCGTTATACCAATAATGAATTTGTAGAAGAGAAATAATTCAGAAACTCTCGTATCTTTACATAAAGACAAAATTATGTGGCAAAAATGCTTTCAAATTAGTGTTGTAGATTCTAAACTTCGTGAGTTCTAAAAAAAGGATAATAAACTCTTGCACGTATATTTCTCATTATTGTAGTTCTCGAAAAATAAAGTTCTCGATCTATATATATATATATATATAGATTTAAATTCAAACACTTGAACTTATGATTTACACTTGATCGACTTCATAGCATGACGCGTTTCGTCGTTACAAACGACTTCTTCAGATGCTTACAGAATAATCTATTATATATCGAATATATCTAATATTCTGTAAGCATCTGAACATATATATATATATATATATATATATATATATATATATATATATATATATATATATATATATATATATATATATATTGTTATATATATATATTAACAATATATATATATATATATATATTATATATATATTGTTATATATAACAATATAACAATATATATATATATATATATATATATATATATATATATATTGTTATATATATATAACAATATATATATATATATATATATATATATATATATATATATATATATATATATTATTATATATATATATATATATATATATATATATATATATATTTCTTGAAATTGATTTATTGCCTGTTTAAGATATTTTATTTCGAAAGTTTTTAGCAATAACAGGCTTTTTTGATATGAAAAACTTAATTTTTGTTGACGTTTCGTTGTTACATTAACGAAACGACAACAAAAATAAAGATTTTCATATCAAAAAAAGCCTGTTATTGCTAAAAACTTTCGAAATAATATATATATATATATATATATATATATATATATATATATATATATATACCGTTAAATATGTAATTTAACCGTGTTATCCAACCACGTGCGGACATGAATAATTGTATTAATATTTTTATAGTGCAAAGAGAATTGAAATTACATTTCAAAAGTTTTCAACTCGACTGGGATTCGAACCCAGGTTCTTTAGGTTTACGCCCCACTGCTTTTGACCGCTAAACTACCGAGGTCTACACTTTGAGATGCAACTTCAATTCATATCTAACAACTCTTCTATTCGTCAAGCTAGTTATTCGACGCTCGGATCCGCACATTCATGTCCGCACGTGGTTGGATAACACGGTTAAATTACTGTTCTATAATTATCATTGTTCCTTACGGAAAAATTGATACATCTGTGAGGATGGGTAGGTGTCACTCACTTTGGCCTGCAAGTACCGAAGACAACAATCCGAGCGTTGAATAACTAGCTTGACGAATTAAAGAGTAGTTAGATACCTATGAATTGAAGTTGCATCTCGAAGTGTAGACTTCGGTAGCTTAGCGGTCAAAGCAGTGGGGCGTAAACCCAAAGACACTGGGTTCGAATCCCAGTCGAGTTCAAAACTTTTGAAATGTAATTTCAATTCTCAATTTTCACTATAAAAATATTAATACAATTATTCATGTCCGCACGTGGTTGGATAACACGGTTAAATTACTGTTCTATAATTATCATTGTTCCTTACGGAAAAATTAATACATCTGGGAGGATGGGTAGGTGTCACTCCTGCCTGCAAGTACCGCAGACGACAATCCGAGCGTCGAATAACTAGCTTGACGAATGAAAGAGTTGTTAGATATGAATTGAAGTTGCATCTCAAAGTGTAGACCTCGGTAGCTTAGCGGTCAAAAGCAGTGGGGCGTAAACCCAAAGACACTGGGTTCGAATCCCAGTCGAGTTCAAAACTTTTGAAATGTAATTTCAATTTTCACTATAAAATTATTAATATATATATATATATATTAATCTGTGAATCTTTGAACTATATAATATATATATATATATATATATATATATATATATATATATATATATATATATATATGTATGTATGTATGTATGTATATACATATATGTATATATATATATATATATATATATATATATATATATAGTTCAAAGATTCACAGGTAATTCAATACTAGTAAATACTGAGACTCTTAATTTACTTATTTTTACTGACTTTCTTAATCGAAATATCGAAATATTTCAAATAAAACTCTCAGGGAGCTGTCTACACAACAAAGGTTCGTTCTCGTTGACAACATTTGTGTAGACAGCTCCCTGAGTGTTTTATTTGAAATATTTCGATATTTCGATTAAGAGTCTCAGTATTTACTATATATATATATATATATATATATATATATATATATATATATATATATATATATATATATATATATATATATATATATATATATCTCAGAAATTCACTACAAGAAAAAAGATGTGTGTAGTTCTCGTGCTATATCGTCGCACTTGTAGATATTGGCTATCAAAGTACACTATAACTTCCTTTCGATAAATTTTGACAAATTATTATAAAGAATATGATAGCATAGTGAATGATAGCTATGTGAAACATGAATAATGCAATATCTCCATGTCCCAGAAGGACAACGAAAGCAGTTCATTTTTGAAAAAAATGAACTGCCAGAACAGGAGTATAGGAACTTGATGATATACAATGCATCATGTCCTAGATTATATTGCTTACCGAAAATTCACAAAGAGGGAATTCCTCTCAGATCTATTGTTTCCTCAGTGAATTCTGTAACTTACAACATCGCGTAATATTTGGCAAACATTTTGACTCTTGCATTAGGCAATGAAAGCGAATATAATATAAAGAACACCTTTACATTTGTAGACATAATGAGTGAAAAACGGTTGCCAGACAATTATCGGTTGGTTTCTCTGGATGCGATTTCTTTGTTCACTAATATACCCACGGAACACTTTGTCAAAATTCTAAAAGGAAAAAGAAATAGAATACGACAATACACAACCATTACTGAACAAAACTTCCTCACTCTCATCTCTTTCGTGTTCCGTAATACATACTTCAGCTTTGATACAGAGTTTTATATGCAGACATTTGGCACACCGATGGGGTCACCTATCAGCCCAATTGTAGCCATCATAACGTTGGATTCGTTATTGGATAGTGTTATTCCGAAATTACCTTTCGAATTACCCTTCATATATAAGTTTGTGGATGATGTTGTAACGTGTGTACCTGCAGACCAAATGAAAACTACGGTCAACAGTTACAACAGTATTCTACAATTTACGATTGAAGTGGAGGAAGAAATGTGGGTTCCATTTCTGGACACCAAGGTGATAAGAACTGATGACAATTTGATGATTTTAGATTGGTATACTAAACCAACTTCCTCAGGCAGGTTTCTAAATTTGTATTCAAACCACCCACAAAATTAGAAATATAATAGCGTTGTAGCAATGAAGAACCGAGTAAAAACCATTTGTTACCAAAGGTTCTTATAGTCTAATTTGAATAGACTCTTTGACTTGTTTCATAATAATGGATACCCAAAGGAACTACTGAGAAGATTAATCTTCCATAGTAATTCATTTGATGGCCAAACCGATGACCAGGTAAACGCAGACGTAAAGTTTTTAAAGATTTCCAACATAGCAGGACTAACAGACTCAATAGTAGCAATGTTCAGAAAGTTCAAAAACATAAAATTGGTGAAATACAATACGATTAATGGTCGCAATCTCTTCACTAAACTAAAGATAAAACTCCAACAAATTATCGAAGTAATGTAGTTTATAAAATATCTTGCTTGGAATGTGACTGCTGTTACATTGGTCAAACCAAACAGTGGATGGGACAACGTACTACTCAACATAAGAGCGATTGTAGATTGGAAAAGAGATCCTGTGCCCTGGTAGAACATCACATAAAAGCATGTCACCAGTTTGACTTTCAAAACGTGAAAATTTTAGAACAGGAAAGCAATTATAAAAAGAGACTATTCCTGGAAATGTATCACATCAAAAAAACAAAGAACACCGTTAATTTCAAAAAGGATACCGAACAACTAAGTAATATTTATTTCAACATATTAAATTAGAAATAAATTCCCAAATAGCAATTTTATTTGGGTGTTATCTGTTGTGTATTACATGTGCTTTATCCCTTTTGGAACTGATACCGTTTACTATCAGTCAGTCTGTTTTAAATCTGTTCCTGAGATCATATCTGTTTTGTTTCGTGAACTATTTATCATGTAGGTCATATAATAGTAATTTTTTTGTCTCATGTTTTCACATTTATATTATTTTAGTCTCCTGATGAAGCCATCAAATAAATGGCGAAATATTGAGCAGAAATAAAAGAATAGTTTTCACTTATTACCACATTAAACTGACCGCTTCCCGAGAAATTTTCCAATCATATATATATATATATATATATATATATATATATATATATATATATATATATATATATATATATATATATATATATATATATATATATATATTCTATAAACGAACAGAAAGAGACTTTAGCGCATTGATTTGGAAATTCCATCACCTTGGCTTCACTAGATACTTGGTCTCAACTGAAATATCTAACAGTTCCTTGAACTCCAGATATACATAGTAAAACGAGATGCCACAAACGAAGTCAGTTACGACGGAAAATGTTAAAGTCCTTGCAATCTCACGTTTCTACTTCTTGCACCTATCTAAATATCATGCCAAAGTGGAGCTTTTCCGCCCAGTGAAAGCGTATTTCCATCTGAAATGGATTCTCTATATCTCTTCATTCAAATCCAATGAAATACAGGGCACTTGGAATGGATGTTAAGTAAGCTTTATCTAAGAGACGTGAAAAGTTCGGGAAAGGTAGTTCAGGAAAATATAAAGGAAACTGACCTAGCTGAGAAGGTTTTCATGTTTCAACTAGGTAGAAATATTCTTAATATTATGGATTTTCATCATCAAACTTTCGACTATATAGACTCATTCGATAATGAAATTTGATTCATACTCACATATCTAGTAAATCCCAGATTCATTCAAATCATAGAAATCAGTACATAGAAATCTCAGAAATTATTTGTAGCCACAGTTCACTTTGAATTACTACTTAAAACTGAAATATCGAAAAATTTTGTGCGTGACCTACCAATCGTAAAGCACACAAATCTTTTCACAATGTGCACTTTTTTGGGTCGCAAAGGGTCCGTGAAATTTCTCTTTTCAGAAATTTTGAACCTGAAATATAAGAAGAGATTATACAGTATTGAATCGTTTGTGAAATAAAAACTATAATTTTATTTTCTGTTTTTCAGGAAGTATTGAGGAAGTAATTGGAACGTTGTTATTCCGACAGATTTGGAATATGAAGCATGAATATGAATATGTTTGAATATATCTGTTTGTGTTGCATCTACAAAATAACGAAGGTCTTGAACTTTCTATTGAATGTTTCAATAGGTAGATAACATTTAATAATTACAACAATCACAATTACATTACGCTTGGTTGAACTAGTTCTACGCTAGGTATCTACCTATACTCCCAAGTTGTCTATGAAGACAACTTGGGAGATTGAATGAATATAAATAATCTTGGATGATACTCAGGAATCCGAACGTATAGCTGTCGTGATCATAGTCTTCTGTAGATATTGAATGTAAAAGTATACACGGACATTCTCTCGAAACAGTTTAGAATAAATGAAAAATCTCATAGCAGAGCTGACCATGTAAGTCATGCAAAGATGCACGAAGTCATGCTTCTATTATACTTTGAGTTATTATTATTAGATAATATTGAAACCAAGGGTCACACTTGTTGAAGACACAACTGATGAGGCTCTTGTAGAACGAAACAGCACAGTCTTGTGTTTTCATCAAGTGTTATCATTGATTTCAATATTTTCTAACAATTATCCCTTGAAGAATAACAGAGGGATCACTAGACACATCGCAAGCTTTAGTTTTTTGAACTGATGTACTTTCGGACTAACTTCACAGTAATTGTAAGAAAAAACTCTTAGTGCCTTGCTATATAAACTGTTAATTTTTGTACTATTTTAGCCCTGAAGAAGAAAACAAACATTTCCGAAAGCTTGGAAAATACTAAAGGATAAACTGATTTTCCTGTCCTAGACTGCAATCTCAATTAAACACTGAAAATACATATCTATAGTCGTTAAACATTCAACTATATATATATATATATATATATATATATATATATATATATATATATATATATATATATATATATATATATATATATATATATATCTTGAAATTGATTTATTGCCTGTTTGAGGTATTTATTTTGAAAGTTTTAAGCATTAACAGGCTTTTTTAATATGAAAAAGTTTATTTCTGTTGACGTTTCGTTGTTATATTACAACTTTGTCAAAACTAATGGAGAATTGAATTTATGAGTTACTATGGATATCAAATGTCAAACTTAATTTTTAGAAAAATCAAATTAGTTTTTTTGTATATTCACTTATTGATTTTCATTATCAGAGGAATATTTCTGGCTCAGCATTCGCTTCGGAAGTTTTAGTCTTCTTCACCATGAGGAAACCTCTGAAAAACTCATGGTAAGCCAGGTGATTCTTAAGTGTGATTATATTAACATATATACAATTACATATAGTTTTTTATATACTTATCCAGAATGTGTATATTGTTCGTTTATGTGTGTGAAATTGAAGGTAGATCTGGAAAGAATGAGTTGTGAGATGTGATGTTTTGTGATTGTTGTGTGTTTATTTTGCGAGTGTTATTTGTGAGGTTTATTAAGTTGTTGTAGATAGAATTTAGATGTTTAATGTCCGTTCTTTCATTGACTGTGTTTTCCAAATTTTTACGAATGTGTAACAATTCTA